AGCCCAGCAGTTGGAGGTTGCTGTGAGCTGTAATGCCACGGCACTCTACCCAGGGGGACAGCTTGAGGCTCTGTCTCAAAAAAAAAAAAAAAAAATACATAACATAAAATATACCATTTGAACAATTTTAAAGTGTACAGTTCAGTGGTATTAAGTACATTCACATTACTGTGCAACCATCACCACCCTCCACCCCCAGAATGATTTCATATCCCATAGCATAGTTTCATCTTGTAAAACATTCTTCTACTTGACTCTGTGCTTTTGAAGAATGAATGACAACTGGGTTTTTAAGCCCTCCACTCACAAGCCACTTAGCAGCCCTGGAATTCATGGTGCGATAGAAATCTTTCCTCATGCTCCTGTCAGCTGGTCCAGGCCTCACCGGTTTAACCCAGTTTAGGGTTGTAAAACTGCAGGCCACACTCCCAAAGGGGGCAGAGTGGATTCCTGGGGGCTGGGACTTTAGCTCCAGCCTTCCCTCTGCTCTGGCTCTGGCTCTAATAAGGTGGTTACAATCCTTCCCACCCTCCAGATTGGTGTCTCCATTCCTTCCCATCCCTCCACTCAGGGCCTCATAGCTTTTCTGAGCCTCTATAAGCCCCTCCAAGTGTATTTGAGCTCCATCTTCAAAAGTGAGTCTATGCCTTGCTGGGTGGAGCCAAGGTTGATGGCTAGCCAGTGAAGACTGCTCCAGTCCTAGCTGGCACACTCTGGTTCCTGCAGCATCACTGGCTCCACAGAAGGTACTTGATCTTTTGAGGAGTGTCAGCCCTGCTCAGGAACCCTCCTGGCTCCCATCCACGTTAGCCTCATCTCCTGATAGACTCCCATGAGGAGACTGGGCTGCCTCCCCAGGGGACTTTCCTTTTGTCCTTGGGTTCCCACATCAGTCAATGGACCCAATGTTCTAGACCATTTCCATGGGACCGTGAGGTGAGGATTTTCTGAGCCTTGTACAGTCCTGATAAGGCAGGCCTTGGCCATGCGTCACTGGCTTTGGCTACAGCTCAGATTCCTTGGCTAGAAAAGGGAAGGCCAGCTCCAGAGGTCTGGGATTATACTGACCCTTAGACATGTTATCTCAGGGGCTTAAGGAAGAGAGTAGAGTCCTAGGCTTCAGGCTAGCAGGGGTCAGAGAGATGACCGCACACTTTTCCAAACAATTCTGTGCCCTGCTCCACCCTCCACAATAGCCCTATTCCCCCAGTAAGTAGAAGGACCACCTAATCAGCTGTGTGATGCCCAGTAACTTACTTAACCTTTCTGAGCTATAAAAATGGATATTAAAAGACAAAACAGAAGGTTTTTACTTTTTTTTTTCTTGAGACAGTTTCACTATGTCACCCTCAGTAGAGTGCCATAGCATCACAGGTCACAGCAACCTCAAACTCCTGGGCTTAAGCGATTCTCTTGCCTCAGCCTCCAAAGTAGCTGATACTACAAGAGCTTGCCACAATGCCTGGCTATTTTTTTGTTTGCCATTGTTGCTTAGCTGGCCTGGGCCAGGTTCGAATCCACCAGCCTCAGTGTATGTGGCCAACACCATAACCACTGTGCTACAGGGGCCAAGCCAAAACAGAAGGTTTTTGAAGGATTAAATGTGAATTCTCCTCAGAGCAATGCCAGGAACTCAGAAAGTATGCAATAAACCTTATTTTCTTTTTTCTTTCTTCTTCATAATAGCTTTCCACACATTGCTTTGGCTCTATAAAGGAAGTTTGGCAAACTGGAAGTTCCCAAAAGAGGCGGGAAAGCCACTGTTGTCTCTTCATGCCCCTAAATACTGCCACAAATGGACAGAAGCCACCAGGTCTGAGACCCTGGGCAGAATAGACACTTGGGCAAATGGCTGCTGCAAAGGAGAAACAATGTCCCGAGACGACCCACCTCCTAACCAGATCTACCAAGGACACATACTCTTTATGTCACTGACAATAAAACTCCACAGACCCAAGATCTCAAGACTTTCTTCCCAAATGAAACAGAGTGGTCCAGATACCTTGCCTGCTTTTTCTGAGGAGGAGAACAGTTTAATCATCTTCACCTTCGAATGAAAACGAGAGTGTTAGGGAAGTGTACTCACATGCCCAGATCCCACCCCACCCCAAACCAGGGCAGTGAGAATCTTCGAGGTTGGATACTGCTTTGGGTATTTTTTTTTTTAAGTCTCTAGTTATTTTTAATGGGTAACTAGAATTAAGAACTACTGGTTTAGTCCAACCTCTTCATTGTAGGGATAACAACACATAGTGTTAAAAAAAAAAAAAGGTCCCAGAAAGGTTAAAAGAAATAAAATATTTAAAGTGATGGACAGAGTACAGCACAAGGTAGGTGCACAAAAGATGGAAGCTGTTATTATTTCAGTATTTCTATTATTTCTCCAGACTAGGATAGCTTCATGGACATGTACAGATGCACAAACCCCACATGTAGAAGGCCCTGTGTGCTTGGTTTCCTGCTTTGATGTTGTCCATCATGAAATTTTTAATTTTTAAACAAGGGGTCCTGCATTTTCAGTTTGCACTGCTCCCTGCAAATTATGTGTGATCCTGGGTCATTCAACTCTTAAAAGCAGAGTGGATTATCACTCATTAAAGAAAGATTGGAAACAAACCAGGGCTCAAAAGCTTGCTGGGCATGGGGCAGGGAGGGGGTGAAGCTTCCCCTAGCCTGACTCTACTGCCACAATGCTGGGTCCCTCATTGTCCAGGGAGGTTCCTTCTCCACTACATCAGGGAAGGGAGTTGTCCTGCATCTCTTGGAGGAGGCAGTATATACTAGTGGAAAGAGACTATAACCTGGGTCAGAATTTAGCACACTCTCTGACTAGTTGTGAGTCCTCTGAGTCTCAGTTTCCTCAGCTATAAAAGGAAAGAAATAATGCCTGCCTTGCACAATCACTGTGGAGCACCCGGCATCCTGACAGTCGCACTGGGTGCTGGAAATAAGTGAATTCTCTTCCCTTTATTAAGGAAAGGGGAAGCATCCTTCTCCAAAAGAATGGGACACTCAAATGTTCCAGGTATAGCTTGTCAGTCAGCCAAAGTCCTTTTTCTTCCTGAGAAACCCAACCACAATCAGTCCTCAGGTTTCTGCTTTTCTCACACAACCTAAGGACAAGCAGTTCTGGGGAAAGTTTTAACTCTGGAGAGGGAGGTAGGCTTCAGAGGCCTTTGTAAAGTGTTGTTGCCGCCCTCTAGTGGCAATTGTCTGTATCCGCACAAATTATTAACTTCCTTTTTGGGAAATAAATGCTTGATAATATACTACAATTCAATCTAAAAATTAACTTATTGAGTCCCTAGATACAAAGACAAATAAAACACAGTTCTTTCCCTTTCACAACTCATAGTTTAGAAAATGAGGCAGGCCAGGTACAGTGGCTCATGCCTGTGTTCCTAGCAGTTGGGGGAGGCCAAGGAGGGAGGATTCCTAAAGACCAGGAACTCTAGATCAACCTGAGCAACATAGCAAGACCTCCGTCTCTACAAAAAATTAGCCAGGCATAGTTGCTGCAAGCTGAGCTGACGCCACTGCACTCTAGCCTGGGACAACAGAGTGAGACACTGTGTCAAACAATAAAATAAAATAAAAGAGAGAGAGCCAGTTCTTTGAAAAGATCAGTAAAATTGACAAATCTAGGCCGGGTTTGGTGGCTCACGCCTATAATCCTAGCATTCTGGGAGGCCGCGATGGGTGGACCACCTGAGTTCACGAGTTCTAGACCAGCCTGAGCCAGACCGCATCTCTAAAAATAGCCAGGTGTCCGGGTGTGCGCCCGTAGTCCCAATCACTCGGGAGGTTGAGGCAAGAGGATCGCTTGAGCCCAAGAGTTTGAGGTTGCTGTGAGCTGTGACGCCAGAGAACTCTACCAAGGGCGACAAAGTTAGATTCTGTCTCAAAAACAAAAAAACTGACAAACCTCTAGTAAGACTGATAAGGAAAACAGAGGACACAATGACCAATATTAGGAATGAAACAGAGACTATCACCACAGACCCTGCAGACAGCAAGAGGATAATAAAGGAATAAAACTGGTAACACCAGACAGCATACACGACTGCGTACGATTCTCCAAACCCAGCCTCATTCCTAGTGGGGAAACTTCTGGACACGCCCCGAAGCGCCACCTCTTTAAATTTTAAAACGAAGACTCAGGCCAATGAGTGTTAAGTTTCGCCCACAATGCAGCTCCCCGCCCACAGCCACGGCTTCCACCAATCAAGCCGAGGTTTTCTCCACAGCCCTTCCAATCACCGCCAAAAATGGAAGTTGCTCACGTAATTACGTAAGGCAAGTGACCAATAGAAACTGAGCTTGGGAACTAACTCCTCCAATAGCAGTAGTGCTTGGAGAGCGCGGGAGCCTTTCGACCAGGGGCCCTGAGGGAACAGTGAATGGCGCTGGTGGCTTAAGGAAGGGTGTAGGGGGAGAAGGCGCGGGTCTGGGTTAGAGCCTTCCAGGCGGCTGCACCGGCGACATGACGTGCTGTCACAAAGTAATGCTGCTTTTGGATACCGCTGGCGGCGCCGCTGGCCACAGCAGGGTCCGGCGAGCCACCCTGCGTCTCCTCACCTACCTGAGCTGCCGATTCGGCCTGGCCGGCATCCACTGGGCCTTCAAGTTCTTTGACTCGCAGGGGGCGCGGAGCCGGCCCTCCCGTGTGTCTGACTTCCGTGAGGTGGGGGCTCGCTCGTGGGAGGACTTCGAGGAAGAGCTGGAGGCCAGGCTGGAGGATCGCGCCCACCTGCCTGGCCCGGCACCCAGGGCCTCCCACACGCACAGTGCCCTGATGGAGACGCTGCTGGACTACCAGTGGGACCGGCCCGAGATCACGTCGCCCACGAAGCCAATCCTGCGGAGCACCGGGAGAAGACTGCTGGACGTGGAGAGCGAGGCCAAGGAGGCCGAGGCTGTGCTTGGGGGCTTTGTGAATGCCGTCTTCCTCCTGGCCCCCTGCCCGCATTCGCAAAGGGAGTTGCTGCAGTTTGTGTCCGGGTGCGAGGCCCAGGCCCATCGCCTGCCGCCAACCCCTAAGCAGGTGATGGAGAAGTTGTTGCCCAAGAGAGTCCAGGAAGTCATGGTCGCCCGAAGAATCACCTTGTACTGGGTGGATACCACCGAATGGTCTAAGGTAAGGTAACAGTAGTCTCAGATGTAGTGCACTGTACTCTCCTTGCTAACCAGAACTCCGCAGCGTCCATAGAACAGCCAAGAGACCCGGAATGAAGCTAAAATGACCATGTGCCCCTTCAGAAGGAAAGTGCTGTGGCCAACAATACATAGAGACAGTTCTCACAACAAAGTGATGGTTCCTCACTACCTACTAAGCCTTTTAAGTCTTTCCCAATTTGGGCCCTACCTGCCTACCCAGACTTTATTTTCCCCCACACAGCATGTATTCTAGCATAGTAAACCTAGTCTGCATAAGTCACAGGTCTTTTTTGTTGTTGTTGTTTAGAGACAGAGTCTCTCTTTATCGCCCTCTGTAGAGTGCAGTGGCGTCACACTGTTTTGGGGGGTTTTTCTGGTGCTCAGGCTGGAGTTCCGTGGCATATCTCACAGCAACGTCAAACTCCTGGGTTCAAGGGATCCTTCTGTCTCAACCTCCGCAGTAGCTGGGACCACAGGTGCTTGCCATAACGCCCAGCTAATTTTTCTACTTTTAGTAGAGACAAGGTATGGCTTTTGCTCAGGCGGGTCTCAAACTCCAGAGCTGAGGTGATCAACTCACCTCAGGCTCTCAGAGTACTGGGATTTCAGTTGTGAGCCACTGCACCCAGCTTAATCCACAGCTCTTTACACCTTGTTTGTCTTATCTCATGCTGTTCCAGCTGCTTGGGATGCCAGTATTCACTCTTTGTAAGCCAGTCTAAACCTCATTCATAAGGCTTTGCCCAAATGACAACTACTCTGATTTCCGTGCACTTTTCTGGGATACTCCTTCTCCATTATGTTCCAATTGTGCACATCTCTCACCTTCCTTTTAGTCTAAACATACCTCAAAGGCAGACCCCAGGTCTTAACACATTATGTCCTCCACAGATGTGTGTTGAACATTGTAGGTGTTCAATAAATACTTCCTGACTAAATGAATAAATTCTTACAAACTTCAAGTCTTAAATAATTAATTTGAATTTTTGTAAAGCCAGCGAGGCCCCCTGCTCCTGTTAAGTGCTATGAAAAGTTTATAATTTTACCTTTGTAGTTTTCTTCATGTTGCCTTATTTACTTAACAAGTTTTCATTGAGAAGCCACTGACATTGAGTACTTACTTAATACACTGTTTTAGTTGCTGGGGATGTGGTAGCCAAAGTGGAGCTTATATTTTATATTAAACAGATAAGCAAGTAAAATTTCAAATTATGCTCTGAAGAAAATACAGCTGGGTGAGGGGGTAGACAGTGGGTATTATGTAAAGGGTGGTAGCCAGGGGAGGGCTTTTTGAGTAGAGACTTGATGAATGTGAAAGTTGGGAAAGAACATTCCTGGCAAAGAAAAGAGCATGTGTAAGGATCTGAGTTGAAAACGAGTTTTGTTTATTTCAGAAACAAAAAGACAAGGAGGAGAGCAGTATGAGAGGACTCTACAGGGCCACGTCCTAAGTGTAGATTTTGTTCTAATTAATAGGTAACCTTTGGAAGGTAGTTTAACCAGGCAAAAGATGTGATTCCACTAAATGGAAACACATTCTTAAGATTACAAATGGAAAATAAGCAGGTGCTTAAACCAAATAATGATAGTGTATGTTAAAATTTCCAACATGCCTACACATACAAAGAAAGCCCTCCCAGGTCATGGCAAATGCAAAATAAGGCAGCAGAAGTTTGTTAAAGAAGAAAAGAAAAAGACAAAATTTATTTAAGGGAATGATAAACATTTGATGGGGAAAGTATAGTCCTAAAAATTAAAATCTGTTTAGGCAGCAAATCAAGTGTTGGGCACAGTACACAATACATATATAAGTGCTCAATTTGAGATAATTTATCACATCAAAGATTTTATTATGGAATGATAATATTTTGAATACCAGCTACAAAGAAGTCTTAGTGAATGGGGCTTAGAGATTTTCTCCTTGTTTCCTTTTGCTCTCTTTCTTTTTGGAATAGCATTGAAATAAGTTGGTTGACTTAATCTTTTTTTTTTTTTTTTTTTTTTTTTTGCAGTTTTTGGCCGGGGCTGGGTTTGAACCCGATACCTCTGGCATATGTGGCTGGTGCCCTACTCCTCTGAGCCACAGGCATTGCCCAGTTGACTTGATCTTTTTAAAGATCCCTTCCAGATCTGTAGGGCTAGGTCTTCTCTGAGACTTTCCTTCTTTCATCTACCATATATTTTCTCCTAAGAAAAATGCCCATCAGGTAATCTTAAGCTTTTCTGGTATTTTCTTCTGCTGAAGGTCTGTCTTTTCCTATTCAAAAGCCTCTGCCCAGCCACATTGTGAAAGCAAAAGGGAGTTTAGCCTCTTTCTCCAGAGAGCTCTCAGTATGTAAGAGTGAGAAGAAAGGAAGATAAAATCCAAGTCCTGTATTAGGGAGCTCATGGTCTGGGAAGTAGAACTCGGAGAAATAGAATCAGGACTCAGATTGGAGGTGGAGGGTTCCAAGCACACAAAACATTTTCAAAAATATAGAATAGAATTGGCTTGGCGCCTGTAGCTCAGCGGCCAGGGCTCCAGCCACATACATCAGAGATAGAGGGTTCAAATCCAGCCTGGGCCTGCCAAACAATGACAACTGCAACCAGAAAATAGTCGAGTGTGGTGGTAGTGCCTGTAGTCCCAGCTACTTGGGAGGCTGAGGCAAGCGAATCCCTTAAGCCCAAGAGTTTGAGGTTGCCATGAGCTGTAACACTAGGGCACTCTACCAAGAGCTGCAAAGTGAGACTATCTCAAAAAAAAGAAACATTATAGGATAGAATAAAGGATAGGAGACCCCTGACACATTTTCAACTTTTTGCCTTTGATTTATTCAACACATTTGTTACATACTTGCCAGGTGTTCTCCGGGCGAATACACCATTAGGGAACCAAACACATGTGGTCCCTGATCTCTTGGAGCTTAATAGTCTAGTGGAAATTTACAAATCACCACATTTGAAACTATCAATAGTACATGTCTGTCAGTTGCCCTATAATAGGCATACAAATAAAAAATGTAACCATATTCTATAGTACTATTTGTATCATTTTTTATCATGTGCATTACTATGGTTTGAATATTTGTCCACTCCAAGACTCGTGGAAATTTAATCTCCAAAATGGCAATATTGAGATGCAGTGCTTTTAAGAGATGATTGGGGCATGAGAGTTCTGCCCTAATGAATGGATCAATCCATTCATAGATTAATGTGTTAATGGATTAATGTGTTATCATGGGAGTGGGAGTGGTGGTTTTATATGAAGAAGAGAGACCTGAGCTTAGCCCCCTCTCTTCTCTGTGTGATGCCCTGCAGCACCTTAAGACTCTTCATAGAGTTCCTATCAGCAAGAAGGCCCTTAGCAGTTACGGCCCCCTGACCTTGGGCTTCTTAGCCTCCATCACTATAAAAAATACATTCCTTTTCTTTATAAATTACCCAATTTCAGGTATTCTGTTCTAAACAATAGAAAACAGATTAAGATGTGTTTTTTAATCAGAAGTTAATGCCCTTTTCAACTCTTATTAATGTTTGAACTTAGCCTTCATTTGATAAGCAGGGAGTTTTTTTGTTTGTTTTGGGTTTTTGTTTTTTCAGCTGGTCCCTTAGCTGAAGCAATTTCAACAAATTTTTTGTGTGCCTTTGGCAGAAAATCCTAATCAAGGTTCATACCCAGCCCTGGCCAAAAACTGCAAAAAAAAAAAAGAAAAGAAAATCCTAATCAAGATCTATGGCCTACTTTTTTCCCACACAGCAGTGAACACAGGAAAACAGGGATGGTAACAGCAAACACTAATTCATTAATTAATCTATTACAGGTCAGTATGTACAACTGAAACAAGTTTCTCAATAAACATTGTTTATCTTTGTTACATGTGATATTTTCTACTGTGCTCTGATATTTTCTATTCTGTTCTTTTTAAATGCCTATCAATTGTTTTAATCACCCCATTCCTGACTCTTAAGATCCTAGACATGGTGTATAGAGGTTACTCAGTAAAAGTTCATTGAAAGAAAGTTGACTGAAGAGTCAGGATGTGTGAAGGAGTGAGGCAGGGCTTTTACAAAGAAAGCAGGATTTGAGATAGATATGGAAGTATATAATAAGCATTTAATTGGTGAAGAAGGAAGGATAGGCATAGGAAATAAAATCAGCAAAAATATAGACACATTATAAATTGTGGCATGCTCAGGAAATAGCAAATGGTTAAGTGTGCCTAGAAAGCAAGAAGGAAATAGAAGTTATGTATTCCGAAAGGTTATTTGGGATCAGTTGTGTAGGACTTTATGGCTGTGTTAAAGAGTTACTTTACCTGGAAGAAGTGGGAAGTCTCTGAAAGGTTTTAGAGATGTCGAATAATCAGATATGTGATTTGGAAAAATACTTAGAGCAATGTAGAGAAAACATGATAAGGGCTTCAGTTAAAACAGTGAAGGTAGAACAGGGAAACCTGTTTGTTCCCTACACAGACCTATGAGTAGATAAGTCAAAGCAATGGTCACTGTCTGGGGGAGGAGCTTCTGCCTCACTCCCATGATACCTGGCTGTTGCTGTGTTATGTTGTGTAGATCAGAATTATTTTTATTAATGTATAATGATTTGGTGTTCTTTCTGATTCTAATATTTTATGATTTATACCCAATGATTTGCATCACTTCTGTTCCTTGACAGAAAATACAAATGAGGTGCTATTTTCACTAAATTAATGCTTTCTTGAAGACAGATTATGTAGTAATTATATTCTGTGATTGTACTATTACTGGACGCTGGCCATTATTTGTATTTGGTTTAACAAATATGTTAATTGTATAATTTTATCCTTCAATGTTGATATCAATTTTACTTTCTCCTGATTCCTTTAGCTTTATTTATGAATGCCTAATTTTTAATAACCTGAGGTTCTTTGTCATTTTTATTTTAGTTGTGGGAATCCCCAGATCACCTTGGGTACTGGACAGTTTGTGAACTGCTCCACCTTAGAGGAGGTACCGTCTTGCCATCTGAATCATTCACCCAGGATTTTACTAAAGCTAGGGAAATACTACTCATGGGTGAAAGAAAGCTGTCAAGTGAACCTCACCTCTCTCCGTGGATTTCAACTCTGCCATGTGATGCTACCTTAAACCGCTTGCTCTGTAATTCTCCTGGGTATGAAGACTCATTTCCAAGGATAGAAGGAACATTATTTCTCCCTGTTGAAAGTAAGCAAATTATATTTTAGGTCTTTTTTTTTTAAATCTCAATTACATTAATTTCTTCAAGACAGATCCATGTTTTTAATTTCTTTGGCATATCCCACAATAGAAAGAATTAAAAGAACTCTAAGCAAAATCAGAGACTGCTTAGGAAAGTTTGAACTCTAATATAGTACAACTGCCAGCCCGTGCACAAAAAGACCAGTACCCAAAGAAGAGTGACATTGTTCAGGTGCCCACGCACATGGGTGATAATATTTAATTGCCTTGTAGAAGTTGAAGACCATAAAGACACAAAGATTGACTCAGAAAAAAAACCAATTAGTCTACAGAAACCAAAAATGATGCCTGTTACCAGGAAAAGCCAGCATGTTGGAATCTTTGTAAATTTTCTTCACCGTATGATTCTCCATAGGCTGAATCTCTTTTTTTTTTTTTTTTTTTTTTTGAGACAGAGTCTCACTGTGTTGCCCTTGGTAGAGTGTTGTGGCGTTATAGCTCACAATAATCTCAAGCTCTTGGGCTTAAGTGATTCTCTTGCCTTAGCCTCCCAAGTAGCTGGGACTACAGGCTCCCGTCACAGCACCTGGCTATTTTTTGTTGCAGTTGTCATTGTTGTTTAGCTGGCCCCAGCTGGGTTTGAACCCACCAGCCTCGGTATATATGGCTGGCGCTGTAATCACTGTGCTCCGGGCGCTGAGCCTGAATCTCATTTTTTTTTTTTTTTTTTTTGAGACAGAGCCTCAAGCTCTCATCCTGGGTAGAGTACCGTGGCATTACAGCTCACAGCAACCTCCAACTCCTGGGCTCAAGCGAGTCTCCTGCCTCCGCCTCCCAAGTAGCTGGGACCACAGGCGCCTGCCACAACGCCCGGCTATTTTTTGGTTGCAGCCGTCATTGTTGTTTGGCGGGTCCGGGCTGGGGATTCGAACCCGCCACCTTAGGTGTACGTGGCTGGCGCCTTAGCTGGTTGAGCTATAGGCGCCGAGCCCTGAATCTCATTTTTTAACACATTATGTATTCACACAGAAATATTATTTCATAGAGATATAAACTATGTTGTACACTATGTGCAGCTGAAGGAATTTTCAAGAGTAGTTTTATTTCAGTAATTTCATCCCACATAGTCTTTAGAATTTAACCTCCTTATAGATATGATGATGCACTATATTTTATGGGTTTAAAGAGCAGTGTCTTTCTTATAAGTAGTAGGTATTGCTTGAGTACTTATTTCTAAGTCATAATTATCAACAAGTTCTGACATCACATCTGGCCCTGGTAATTCCCTTCCTTTATAGCTTTTCCTCTACTAAATGAACTTGCTGTGATAGGTTGTTGGCAATAATATAAGGGTTGAAGTGTGAAGTAAGTGACAAGTACCTCACCTAGCAATCTGATTTTTTTCCCTCTTACTATTAAATCTTTTTTTAGTAACTATTTATTGTGTTAGAATTTTAATATTCTTTAATTTCTAACAGGCAAAAAGATTAGAGAAACATGGATAGTCACCCTAGAGCCCTTGGCTATGCATCAGAGACATTTTCAGAAACCAGTCAGAATTTTTCTAAAAGGCTCAGTGTCCCAGTGGTCTCTCCCAATGAGCAGCACTTTTGGGACTGACAGCTGGATGCTACAAAGTTCAGAGAAGAACACATCAACTCAAAAGCTGTTATTTCAGCAGCTGATAAGCAGGCTGACTGCTGAAGAGTTACATCTGGTAAGTATCCTCTACATGATGTTACACTTGTCTAATTAAACACACTAGGAAAGTGAAATAAGTGTGTTTATGGAATGCCCTAATAATATAGTCTCAGAAAAACTGACATTTTTGCTAATAATAATATCAACATTGTAACATAATGACAACAGTGCTCTTTAATAAAGAAATCATTTATAAAATTCTATGTACCCAGAATCCAATTAAGCTAAATTACATTCACATAGGGAAGAAGGCAGTCAGCCAGATGCAACAATTGTATTATGGTACTGAGGTGATTTCTTGCTATTTTTTAAGTTTTTATGTTAAGAAAAAGCTACTATTCTAAAACATTAGATAGTAGTAGTAGTTACACAAACTTAAAAATGTTTTATGAAAAGAAACATATACCTACCTAGATTTGATTTAAAGATGATAATTATTTTTAAACTACTAGCAAATTCCTTACCTTACCTTGTCTTTTGCCTTAATAATCTCTATTCTGGATCACATTATAAAACATTCTAGAGAAAAACAGGGTAGTTATTAAACTGATGCTGTTCTAAGTGTTATGTACTCTGGAAAAGCACATGGGGCTGGAGAGACAGTGATCTGGATTAGGTCTTTGCTGCCCACTGTATATTCTGGATAAGTCTCTTAGTGATATATTGCCTCATGGTTAAGTACATGGGTTTTAAAGTCACATATTTTTGGGCCTCTTCCCTTACTAACTGGGTAACCTTGAATAAGTACTTCTTCCTCCTCAACAATCCTTTCTCTTTAAAATTGGGATAATAATCATTTTTACCTCAGACTGGTTGTAAGGATTCAGAGAGCACATAATAAGTTCAAATATTCCTGGTAATGTGAAGTTTTTCTTATTTGTAAATTGAAAGATTGGGACTATGTGATAGTAAATTATCTTTCTACCTCTGGTAACCATAACCCTATCTTTTCTACAATTTTCTCTTTACATTAATAATCATTGGGAAAACTGTTATTCTTTTACTAAGCTACATTCTTCTTTAGGCAAGCATATTGACAAAAGTGTTCTCAACTAATTAGAACTTCTTTAATAGGTTGCTGATGTAGACCATGGTGAAGGCTGGCCTCCTATCACTGGAGTTATCTCCCCACTCTCTGCCAATGCCACGGTTCTCACCATGTTCCGCACAGAGGAGACTCACTTTCAAAGACATTTTTGCCAAACATCTGTGGCCCAGGACCCTCAGGATACAGCTTCCCTTTTCTCAGGTGTTATGGATTGTGTCTTGAATCAGATTGATAATTCTCTTGAAGATCTTGCTACTTCTGGTAAGCTTCTGAACCAGTCACTACACTTACTTTTAGCCAAAACACTGAGAAGCAATTAGAGTGTTACTCATACAGTCTAGGGTGGTTTACAGTCTTTTCCAGCATCAGAACTTTCTCCTACCATGCATTCAGTAGAACCCCAATATAAGGCAAATAAAAGCAAGCTACAATACTTCAGGCAGTTTAAATTATCATTATTTATAGAAATCCTGAGGAGGCTGAAGGCTCCATAAGACCAATTGAAATCAAAGTCATAAGGTGAAACTTAATTTTTAATACATTAATAATGATTGCATGTAAAACTGTAGTTATTCTATCTACCTTACAATTCGTTGCATTGTTACTATATGATATAAATCTTGTTTATGCTAGGTAGATTTAAATATATATAATCAACTTGATATTTCTTTTGTTTTTTGTTTTTTTGAGACAGAGCCTCAAGCTGTGTTACCCTGGGTAGAGTGCAGAGGCATCACAGCTCACAGCAGCCTCCAACCCCTGGGCTCAAGTGATTCTCCTGCCTCCACCTCCCAAGTAGCTGGGACTACAGGTGCCTGCCACAATACCTGGCTGTTTTTTGGTTGCAGCCATCATTGTTTGGCGGGCCTAGGCTGGATTTGAACCCACCAGCTCAGGTATATGTGGCTGGCACCTTAGTCACTTGAGCCACAGGCGCCAAGCCTTGATATTTCTTTTATTCACTTATTTAGCAGATTTATTGAGTACCTACTAATGATTTTTTTTTTTTTTTGAGACAGAGTCTCACTTTATCGCCCTTGGTACAGTACTGTGGCATCACAGCTTACAGCAACCTCCACTCCCAGGCTTAGGCAATTCTCTTGCCTCAGCCTCCTGAGTAGCTGGGACTACAGGCGCCCGCCACAGCGCCCAGCTATTTTTTGTTGCAGTTTGGCTAGGGCTGGGTTCAAACCCACCACCACTGGTATATGGGGCCAGCACCCTACCCACTGAGCCACAGGTGCTGCCCAACTACTAATGAATTTTTTCACTGAGACTTCCTGAATGTATAGCATTTTATTTGGGGTCTTGTGTGGGCCTTTTATAATTACTGGGTTTAATGAAGTTTCTGTTATTGTTTCCCAACCCCCATCTCCATTAAGTTTATTCTAAGAGAACCTACCCAGATGTTCCCCTACACTCTGCAGTTTTATGTTGCTGTTATGCACATATTACTATATTATTTATTCTTGTACTAAAGCTACTTCAAAGTGGTACATTTTTAAGAATAGAAAAACAACATATATTTAAACCTATTTAGTGGAACATTTCAGAAATAAGATGAGTGGGTCAGTGAGTTGGTCATGAACAGGACACTTCAGAGAGCAAACCCTTCAGGATTCCTGCCCTTGGGCTCAACGAATTTGGACTTAGGCAGAGAAGACTGCAGGGATTAGGGTGCTAAAATACCTCCCAGTTTCCAGTTCTAACCCTATAGGTCATGCCTTCTTGGCAGTTGTTGAAAGGTCAGTGGAGAAGTATTCAGCCAGAGATGAGCAAACATGCAAGTAAAATAGCTTTCTGAGTCAAAAAAAGAAAAAGCATGGATTTGTTGCCAGTGATAAGAACAAAAGACTTTAAACTGTGTTTGCACATTTTTCATGACAAGATAGGCCTATGAGAGTTGGTGATACAGATGAATGAATGTTATTAAAGGTACCACTCTGTCCTTTGGAAGGATGCAGTTAGTAGTCTTCATTTTTGTTATAATGACTCTTTCCTCTCTTGCCTTGGTTCCTTTGTTCCTATAGCTCCTACTGTTCCAGAGTGGGCCCAGCAGGAGATCCATCATACTATACCCTGGAGTCCAGCTGTTGTGGAGAAGTGGTTTCCTTTCTCTGATATCAGTGGTGCCAGTTCAGATTTGATGGAGTCATTTTGGTAAAACTTATCTTTCTGGGTATTGATTATTTTATTTATTTATTTTTTTTTGAGATGGAGCCTCAAGCTATCCCCCTGGGTAGAGTGCCATGGCATCACGCTCACAGCAACCTCCAACTCCTGGGCTCAAGCGAGTCTCCTGCCTCAGCCTC